CCTTTTCAGTTCAATGTCAGATCTGCTTCAAGTTTGGTCATTCTGTCATTAACTGTTATCATCGCATGAATTCTTCTTATCAGAATCCTTCTCCTCCACATCCTCAGTACACAGCAATGACTACTACATCTATTCCTCATCCATCTCCTCAACAGAACTATATTTCATCAGATGTGTTTTCTGATTACCCTCAGTATTTTGCTATGCCTGCTTCATCCTCTGATGCCTCTGATCCTAACTATTGGCTTATAGATACATGAGCTTCACATCATATAACTGCCAATCTTGTAGATTTGTCCATTGCACATCCCTATCATGGAGAAGATAAGTCTATATAAACAATGGTAAGCCACTTGATATTACTAATATAGGCCACTCATTTCTCAATACCAACTCTCACTGTTTTGAACTCAATCATGTCTTAAGAGTTCCATCCACTACTACAAATTTGATCTCTGTTAAACAGTTTTGTTTTGATAATAATTGTCAGTTCCTCTTTGATTCTGACTTCTTTGTTATTCAGGACAAAGCCACAGGGCAAGTCCTATACAAAGGCCAGAGTAAGCATGGACTTTATCATATTCATGCTATTTCTACTTCCAATTCCTTGCCTGCTTCTTACCTGGGCACCGGAATATCAAATCAAGTTTGGCATGATCATTTCGGGCACCCTCTTCATCCATTCTCCAGCAAATTCTGACCAGGTTATCTCTTCCTCACTCTGCAACTCAGGTTACTAGTACTAGTTGTAATTGCCAATATTGTTTGAATTGAAAAATGAACAAGTTACCTTTTCAAATTTCCAATTTTTGTTTTGTATTACCTTTATAAACTATTCACAGTGAAGTTTGGGGTCCCTCTCCTTATGTTTCTGTTAATGGCTTTAAATACTATGTTTCTTTTGTGGATGACTTCTCTAGATCTACCTGGATATCTCTTTTGCTAAAATAATTTGATGCCTACACAGTATTCAACAAGTTTAAGCTTGACATTGAGACTCAGCTGTCTCACAAGCTTAAACAATTTCATTCTAATGGAGGAGGAGAGTTCAACAATTCTCAAATGCAGACTTTTTTATTTGTTTGTAGGATTCATCATTCCAAGTCTTGCCCTTATACCCCTCAGCAGAATGGAATTGCCGAGAGGAAGCATAGGCATATTACAGAAAATGCTCTAAGTCTGATGAATAAAGCTTCTTTACCTAATTCCCCCTGGTTTCGTGCATTTGCTACTGCTACTTTTCTCATAAACAGAATGCCCTCCAAGACTACACACAACAAATCTCCTTATTTACTTCCGTTTCATTCACTTCCCAACTATTCTGACCTCAAAAACTTTGGTTGTACCTACTACCCTCTGCTTACTCCATATTCCAAACACAAACTCCTTCCCAAAACTACTCAGTGTGTCTTTCTTAGCTATCCCTTTGACTATAAGGGATACTTGTGCTATGATCCCACCACAACTAAAGTTTACATTTCCAGGCATGTTATTTTTTATGAGACTGTTTTTTCCTTTGCCAATGGTTCTACTTCTATTCCTTTTATTCCATCAGATGTTACTCACTAGTTTCCACCTACAACTACGTTATCTTCATCTTCTATCCTTGGTCGTCCCCTTACAACTACTCATGTTTCTTCCTTTTACATCAATCTTTTATTTCTTTTTCCTTAGATATCATCTATACCATCTCATTCTGGTTCACATCTTCTACCACTTCCAATATTACACAATCTGTCTCTAATTCTGTTTCACCTTCTATTGTATCATCCTCTACTCCTTCTTTTACTCAACCTTAGCCCATTGTTTCTATGCATCCTATGAAAACCAAAGCCAAGTTTAGTATTCATAAACCCAAAATCTTTTTAGCTTCAGCTAATCCTGTTAAACCTACCTCTTTCACCTCAGCTTCCAAGTTTCTTGAGTGAAGGAGTGCTATGTCTGGTGAGTTCTCTGCTCTTCAGCAACAAGGTACCTGGATTCTTGTACCTCCTTCTCATCACAATCTCATTGGCTGTAAATGGGTATATCGTATTAAACATAAGTTAGATGGTTCTATCTCTAGATACAAAGCCGGATTTGTTGCAAAGGAATTTCATCAGGCTGCTGGTATTGATTACCATGAAACCTTTAGTCCAGTTGTTAATCATGGTACTTTTAAACTGGTTTTTGCTCTTGCAACTCAGTATCACTGGTCTCTTCATCAGTTGGATGTTAAAAATGCATTCCTCCATGGTTCTCTCAATGAGGAGGTTTATATGCATCAGCCTCCTAGTTTTATTGATCAAGTCCATCCTCATTATGTTTGCAGATTACACAAGTCCATCTATGGTCTCAAATAAGCTCCTCGTACCTGGTTTGAAACCTTTACAACTCATCTTCTACCTAGTCTTTTACAGCTTCTGCAGCTAATCCCTCCTTGTTCATCAGATCTGTTAAAGGCTCTTTAACTGTCCTTTTACTTTATGTGGATGACATTATTCTTACAGGTAATGACTCAACCTATATTGTTTCTCTCAAAACTAGTCTCGGTACTATTTTTGAAATGAAGGATCTTGGTCCCCTTCATTTCTTTCTTGGCATTGAAGTTCAGCATTCTTCCAAAGGTTTATTTCTCAACCAGCACAAATAAACCCTAGATCTTCTTGCCAAAACTAACATGACTGAGTGCAAACCTTGTAAGACACCATGTGCAACCACTGCTAGACTAAGCAAAACAGATGGCTTTCCACTTTCAGATCCTTCTTTATACAGAAGCATTGTAAGCTCTCTTCAATATCTTACATTTACTAGACCCGATATTTTCTACGCTATAAACCATGTGTGTCGGTACATGAGCAGTCCCACTGATGTTCATCTTGCTGCTGGAAAAAGGATTTTAAGGTACCTCAAGGGTACTGCATGTAACCCATGGCATCTCTTTTCATCCTAGTTCTATTCATCTCTCAGCTTATACAGATGCAGACTAGGTACATGATTCCAATGACAGATGATCAACAACAGGTCTTATTCTCTATTTAGGTTCCAATCCAATTCATTGGGTTGCCAAGAAACAGACTACAGCTTTCAGGTCTTCTATGGAAGCTGAGTTCAGAGCTTTAGCTCACACCACGACTGAACTTACCTAGTTCCAACTTCTGCTAAAGGATTTGCATATTCAACTCACTCAGTATCCTAAGTTGTGGTGTGACAATATTTCGGCCTTAGCTCTTGCTTCCAATCTCAAGTTTCATGCAAGAACTAAATATATAAAGAAATATTTTCACTTTGTCAGAGAGAAAGTAGCTAACAAACAACTTGCAATTCATTATGTACAGATCAGGTTGTTGACATTTTTAATAGGGGACTCTGCTCAGCTAGATTTTTACTTCTCAAAAACAAACTGTTGGTTGGTCCCCCTCCATCAGTTTGAGGGGGTGTGATAACCATATGACCTTAGCCAGCTCACATGGACTCTGCTCAGTCAATCGTATGCATAGCTCAGCTTAAATGGACTGTAATGGAGAAGCATCACAATAGATAGTAGCAACACACTAGATAGTTGTTAGATTGAGTTTGTTAAAGTATTCCAACTCAGCATTTGTTAGTTGTAATTGTATGTTAGATTGTTAGATTCAGCTGTTAGATAATTAAACTATTAATCTTAATCGTATAAATATCAAACAGTACAAAATCATTAAGTTGAAAATACAATTGAAGAACTCTCTCTCTCTCTTTGTAAATCTTCAAACGGTGCCCATGCTACTTGTTGAAAGCGGCTACCTGGAACAAGGGACAGTCCTCCAACCTGCTGGTATCCTCGACTTATTTGATTTGTGAGCACCATTTCAACCAAGGGTATTTATTTTCCTTTGTACACTTGTAATTCTATCCAATGTCGCTTGTATTGGAGATCATGCCATGTACTCTTGTTATCTTAAAAGGGAGAAGAATAATTCTCATGTACTCGGTTTGCCCCCGAGTCCGATATGTGTTCATTTTGTTAAAGGTAAATATACCCTGCACAATTTATTATCTCGGGTCTCTTTTATTTTTTCGACTTTTCTAACTATCAACGGAGTTTATGGCGAAGTTCTCCCTACCACGTCCTACGCTCCGACACGGCTGGCACAGTTGACTGCCAAGTCCCAAGTCCCAAAATTGATGTGATTGTGTTCCTAGTTCTCCTATAAAGAGGACCTTTCCATTTCACTAGGTGATGACTGCTTGAACCACCTTTTTTTTATTAGTAAAAAGGGAGAGGGGTGACCCATAGGTACTAACTCTCTTGCATGTGACCATGGAGATCCCCCCCCTAGATTATATTTGTTCGAGTCATAGTTACTAATTCAGAAAGACAGTTCGTCATCATAGCACCGCCAAAGTCAAGTAGCAAATTATGTTACTCTCGAATATCAAGCCCAAACAATCTTAAATAGGTATGACTTACCACTAAATCACCAACTCGAGGTGATAGTTCTTGAACCACCTGACTTCACTAAATCTGTCTAAACTATGTGAGATGAGGTTGCAAGTGCTTCTGACATCTTTCAGTTTCCCCTTGTTTAACCTTCTCCCTCTGAGGATATGTTGGATTGTGAGAACAATGGTTGATTATCTGGTGCAACATATAATCACAAAAATACTGGGTTTCTAAAAATTATGAAATAGTCTTTTACTCCTGGGAAGGCACCATCTGAAGATCGTCCGAGGACAAGAAAAAAGACACTCTCCTATTCCTTTGCTTTGTTCATTCTACGAGAAGTATTCCTCCATCTCAAGCAAGTCTTCATTGTTTTTTATTTAGAGAGTACATCGAACAATTGCTCAGGATGAAAAAAAAGTACATTGAATGTTCCTCGGATACTTTTTTTTTCATTAACTAATGCAGCCAGTCTACGAAATAAACTATTTGCACTTGTCCTAATTAAGTTCATGCTTGTTTTAAGGCTTTTCGTGTGAGAGAGCGAGACGTGATCCAGTTGACTACCTTCGAATCAGTGAAACAATATTGAGATGTGCGACGCGCTAAAACAAGGTGTCATTCATGTAAAAAGCTGATTTTCAGCAACAATATGCATACATACAAAATTATGAGCAAAAATATTTGCATAAATTGTCAATGATAGCGCTGAGAATTGCTTGGGCAAACAATACATGGTAGAGTGGGTGAAATTGCAATGATTGATCTTCTGCTATGGCAAAGACAGCTTTTCAAGTCCAGTAAAAAATCAGTATTCTCGATAGCCAATGGGAACATATGTACAACGAACCTGCATAAAATCACGTAATGCAGAAATTAGAATTTTGCGACAATATGCAGCCTGTAATACGGGTAGGCAACTGATAGGTCAGATTCCTCTTGTACGACCACCAACGAAAGTTGGGTGGTATTCAGTTGGTCTCTCTACATTAATCTTGAGGTCACAAAGTCTATGGCACTGCACTGCTCCTCTCTTCATTAAATAGTCAAGTTTATGTAAGTTCAAAAACTTTGAAAACCAGGAAGATGCTGGTGTTGGGGAGGCCAATTAAAAATTCCAAGTTTTCTACTCTTTTCATCAAAAAATGTCAGCCACAAAACAATGGTTTAGATCCTCGATGCTGATAATCGATAGAGACTTACCTGGAATCCTCTGAGGAATGCTCCCCCACTAAAAATTAGATCATGAACAAATGCTATATATGTGCACAACTAATACTTTCAAGGAGTTCCATGCCTTCAAGTGAGTAAGGGCATGTCTGCACGGCCTGATGGAGGTGTGAGAGGTTTAAGTAATGATCTCAGGGATTCCATGATAATGGCAAAGGAAGGCCGTTTCCATGGCTCACTGCATACAGTCAAAGCTAAATCAATGAAGACCAAGCCAAGATCTAAAAGTAAATATAGGACTCAAACTCAGAAGTCAAGTAATGAAACAAGACTTTCAACTCACTTGGCCCAGCATGCCTCAATTATAGCAGCTATGCGAGGATTTAGATCACGTGGAATCTCAAGCCTTTTTCCTTTGAAACCAACAGCTGCTACAACCTACAGAACAATATGATGAACTTATATCTCATGACTTAAATGAGCTCAAAACACTATCTGATGCACAATGAATATGCAACTTCTTGAATAAACCAGTAAGCAGATAACTTGAACTGACCACAAGGAAAATACAATTAAAAGATTAAAAACAAAGTACTTTGATATAAGAAGAAATAATAACATTTCAGTTAGTGATACATTTCAGTCATACAATGAAACTTTGAGAGAGGGTTATCGAGCAAAGATTAAATGTGCGAACAACAGTTTCTAAGAATCAATTTGGAATTATGCTGGGAGATCAGCAAAGGAGGCTATATATTTACTGTGGAGACTAATGGAAAGGTATAGGGAGAAAATAAGGACCTTCATATAGTTTTTATATACTTAGAGAAGGAATATTATATAGTGCCTAGAGTGATTTACGGAGGGTCTTGGAAAAGAAAAATGTTATTGTTAGGTATATTGATGTTATTAAGAATATGTATGAAGATGCAATGACTTTAGTGAGAACAACGGTGGGGAAGACTAAGGAATTCCCAATTACTATAGGTTTACATCAAGGTTCTACTTTAAATCCATATCTTTTCACGTTGACTATGGATGAATTGACTAGCCACATTCAAGATGAGCTCCCGTGGTCTATGTTATTTGCGGACAATACTGCATTAGTTGATGAAAATAAATAAGGACTTAATAATAAACTAGAAATTTGGCGAGAAACCCTAAAATCAAAAGGATTTAGAATAAGTAGGGCTAAAAGTGAGTACATGGAACATAACTTTACTAAAAGAAGAAATCGAAATCAGGAAGTAATGAAAATTGAAGATTAAGAGATACCAAAAAGTGAACACTTCAAATATTTAGGGTCTATTATTCATAGAGTGTGAAATTGACAATAATGTTAGGTATAGAATTAATGTTGGATGGACTAAATGGAGGAATACATCCGGTGTATTGTGTGACAGACATAAAATCCTTAAGTTAAAAGGAAAATTCTATAGAACGGCTACAAGACCCGCTATGCTAGTCCTGAGTGTTGGACAACTAAGAAACATGTTCAAAAGTTGTGTATGGTAAAAATGAGAATGTAAACATAAATATGTGATAAAACTAGAAAAAATAAAATTATGAACAAATATATCCGAGAAAAAATAGAGGTAGCACAAATAAGAGATAAGTTAAGGGAGAATCAACTTAAGTGGTTTAGACATACTTATAGATGTCCTCCTACGACACCAGTGAGAAAGAGTAATATGATAGCTATTAAAAGTAAACGTAGGATAAAGGATGACCAAAATTAACTTTAAATGAAATCGTAAAAAATTATATAATAACTAATGGTTTAACTGAAAACATTTCCCTTGATAAAGCTCAATGGCATAACAGGATTCATGTAGCCTATCCCAAAAACATTGGGACAAGGCTTTGGTGAGTTGAGTTGAGTTGATCTCCACCATGCATACAAATTAAAATTTGCTACTGCAACTTATTAATTTTACAAAAAAAACAAAATCAGAAAACTCTCTGCAAATATGAAACCATCATCCATTAATCATCTTATCAGAAGACATTTTGAGTTCTCGACAAAATGAAGGAGTTTTAGACTCAATCTAGCACTGAAAATGAGTTCACTATCTTTTAGAATAATCTAGTATTATGAAGGAATTCACTTATCTTTTTTTTTTTTAATGCCAAATATGAGTTGCCCAGGTCAAATCAGCAGCAATGACTAATGCTGCTAAGGAAATTGCTTTGTTTCTACAAAGTTGTCCATTCTAAGTCCTTCAACTTGATCACTGGTTAGCACTTTCTACCACTCTATCCAATTACTATAACACACATTCGTGGGCAGTTCTAAAAGGCCAGTCTCCCTCCCAAGCAAGGAAGCAAAATACATCGACAAGAATATCAAAGATGTCTTTTCAGAATATATTATATCTATACAAACCTGAGCTGGATTCAAATTACTCCAAGGTTGTTGCAAAGTTGCAAGCTCCCATAAAATTATGCCAAAGCTGTACACATCCGACTTTTCATTTGATTGTTCATCACGAAGAACTTCTGGTGCCATCCACTCAGGCTATCAAAATAGAGCAAATAAGCTTTTATTGTGTGATTGAAATCACCCTGCAAAATCTAGGAATTAAGCCATTGAATGATGTGATTAAAATAAATAAAACTTACAGTTCCTGCTGCTGACTTTGATGAAAGAAATGTATTTGCTTTGAAACGGGAAAGACCAAAGTCACATACCTAAATGAACATATTAGATATGTAAGGAAGAAGGAATGACATACACAGAAAAACGAGGAGAGTTCAACACTGATAAACAGTAACAAAACCAAAGACAAAACATCTAAAAAATACTCATGAATCACATCTACTCACTAGTAATGATACAAATAATATATGGTTACATATTGACAATTCCAGTATATATAGCTCCATCCCTGATTATGCTCAAATATAGAATGGAAATATGACTCAGCTCAGCTCAACTCAACTCAACTCAACAAAACCAAGCCCCAACATATTGAATGGAAATCCAACACTTGAATTAATATTGAAAATCCATCTTCACTGAGGAATAGACCAATACAAAAGAAAAAGAGAGAGGGGATGGGACACACCATTCCGCATAATCCTCTGCAGAATTTCAAAGAACAACTTACTCTACGATGAAATCTTACGGTTAAGCAAGGCCCACACTTGGCACGCTCCCATAATTACAATCAGGTCTGGGGAACTTTCCACAAAATCTATGAGAAATATGAGTCTCATGCAACAATCTTCAAAAAATAAGAGATGGCATCAAGGGTACAATTTAAATAGCAATTAATCCACATATTCCATGAAGGTTACACCCTTCCCTGCAACTTCTGACCAAGGCACCATACATCTGATGATACCAATTAGACTTCAGACGTCCTTTTTCCAAAAACTTTACTGGCAAAAAGGACTTGAAGAGATTTGATGTCATATCGGAAGATTTTAAGGTGAATATCACTTCAATACCTGAATCTTTCCTCACTATCTGTTGATGGATATGACCAGTGCATAAATCACATATTAAATTTCCAACACTTTCCTACCAAGCAACTTCATCCTGTACAATATTTTTACCATGCTCAATTTCAAACTGGTCAACAAGTTAATTTTTAACAAGGGACCCTTGCAACAATAGGTCCAAGGAAAACAGAAAAACTGAATGCACTGGTTAGTTGGCTGCCAAACATCAATTGTCAAAAATGCCGACAAATGCAATCCACATGGCTTCATGTGAACCTAAACTTCCATTTTGTAAATGCTACCATAAATTAAAAATAAAAAAAGTAAGTTGTCCAACTCATTTGATCATGCTACTGGTAGCAGCTAGCCATCTGCTATGCTCAAGAGATCCTTCTTCTTACCTTCACTGTATATTTTTTGTCAACCAAAAGATTCGGAGATTTCAAGTCTCGATGAACAATGGGAGGATTGCATTTGTGAAGATAATTCATTCCCTTAGCCTACACCAAACAACAATTACACATCAAAATCAAAACATCTTGGAAATATAAACAATGATTTAACACACACAAACACAGACTATAAAGATAGTGCTGAGCCCACGACGAAGACGACGAAGACGATGATGATGATGATGACATGCCAATGACTAAGGTGATATCCATACATCATGTACATATTATTTAACAACAAGCAGTCTTTGAAATCCAATCACATACCACATCATAAGCCATAGATAACCGGCGCTTCTCATCCAAGACGTCTCTTGCACCAGGTTTACGCAATAGTCTATACAGACTACCTCTGCCATTCATGGTCAATATCACAACAAACAAGTCAGGCCAAAAGTCTCAAGATAGCAAAATATGGTCACAATAATTGATGAGAAAAAGGTGGACCATCATTAGGGTGTTAGGCAAAAGAGACATTACAAAACCTTGATAAATATTCCGTGACTATGGACAAATTAGGAGGTTGTGTAACAGCACCCATAAAAAGCACAATATTTGGATGCCGCAGGCGTTTCATTATTGCAACCTAAAAAACAGCAGCATAAGAGCAATTGCAGTAATTAATAATAAAGGTTTTTTAAAATGAATCCACTAGTTTGATCTGATATTCCTCGAGCTTGGAGCCAAAAATACCCAGATAGTTAGATTGCACTTACCTCCCTTATAAACTCCTTGAAACGCTCTGCATGAAAGTCTTGTTCCATGAGAATCTTTACAGCCACATCCTGTAAATTACAGCTTTTGTAAGGCTTCCAAATATAAGGGCACGCCATCCACAAACCTAGAATACTAACAACCACCATTGGCCAACTCTGAAAAAATCTAGTAAAATGATGAGATACAAAATGGGCTAAATCCTTAAAGTTAACAGGGTGCTGACAAAAAAAGACCAACGAAAGAAAATTATTTCTGTAAAGTAAAAGCAGTGAGATGATGTTGAACTTACGGAAAAATTCCTAAGTGCCACATCAAAATGAAACCTTACAGATCATAAAGAATGTGCCATCTGTCAATAGTGTGTGCATACGGAAAACATGATTGACAATATTAATCAGGTTGTTGATTGCATTAAGAACTGTTGTAGATTATTGTGTACGCGAACCCTTGATATGAGAGATAAGATGGCAACAGCCAAAAAATAGTCTGCAATCTAAATGGCACAGACCTTCATAGAAATATAACCTCTTCAATTATTTTTTTGTAGACACATATGTGATAGTAATGTGAGCATTACTACTACTAAAGGAACACTTGCACTAAAACGAAGTTCATAAAAATTGAACTTCGTTTGCTCTAGTCTCAAAAAAGTGCACTCTTGCACAAGGATCAACGAAAACTAAAGCACAATTGACGGGATTCTTCAACATAACTACAATTTCACTATATATGGTAGGCAACGATAATATGATAAATAATTCACTCTATGACATTAACACTACTAAATGTCTACAATCAACTAAAGGCCAGCAACTACATCAACGATGTAAGATTATTTATTAGTTCTCTACCCAACTCAAAGTATTAAACTAGGTCCAACTAGGGTACCATGAATTAGCATCACCAAACCTATAAGATAAAATCAACAACAGAAACCCCATAAGATGGTGCCACACTAATAAACTTCCATTTGCCTATACAGGTATCTGAGCATGAATACTTCAAAAGAATATGATTGAACACAGAAAGATGGAATGACTTACAGAGCCATTCCAATCAGCACGGTGGACAGTGCCAAAAGAACCTGAAAATGCAAGTCATTTCTTTTAGTAAAGCTTCCTAGGTGACACTTGGGAAGAGGTGCACTGCCCTTCGATACCACAAAACGTCCATGGTGTATGCACTCTGCAATATATTCAAACCAGGGAGGAAAATTACCTGCTCCAATTTTCTCTTTCAAAACAAGATCACTCCAAGGTATGTCTAAATCCTCCATATCAAGGGTAACTTCTCTACTTGGTTTAACTGGAACCAGTTGACTATCAGACAACGGTATTAGTGGTTGAACATTATTTCCACGCCCAATTGGTGGGATATGCTGTAAAGGGACTCGATCTCCGATCATGCTTGCTGAGCTTATATCATTCTGAAAATTACATATTTTGGAAGGCTGTGAATCTTTATCACGAGACTTTTGCCAGGCATTTATTGGTTCATCACTGTGGCTTGAACTGGTTATGGGGAGGTTTCTACCCACGTCACACCAATCTGATTGCTTGGTATACATGGAACCTCCGGCATCTCCATCAATATCAGCACCTGTAACCATAACGATAATCAATCTTCATAACCCTGGGACTCAATTCAGAAGGATGATCACTGAAACGACAGTTCTATCAACATGAGAAATATGCCAGAAACACCACATTTGATGTGTCAAGCATGCTTCCCATGCAATCAATTTAACAACTAAAGAGAACAGAAGGAATGTAAATAACTTAAGTCATGAGCAAGAAGACAATAACTAGAATTCATGCACAGAAAAACTGCAAAGATTTTTCCAGCTGACCAGTAATTCACAATATGCTTGTTGCCTCTACACCAATAGAAGGTCAAAGACCAAACTGAACTACCGCCATCCTTGAATTGAAATCATTAACAGTTTCTAGCCTTTAGATGTTTAATTTCCCAGTGGAGAAATTGAAGAAAGTGGCACATAATAAAGACATTTATAAGAAAAGAAAAAAACCATAAGTCACCATACCATTCAAATAAATTTTTGAAGAGTTCAAGAGATCACCTGTCAAAGAATCATCAAAAACGAGATTAAGTGATTGAGAGTCTGCGAAATACTGTTTGGCTAGTGACCTGAAATCAACTGTACGTTCAACTCCTCTGAATCGCGGAAAGTGCAAGGGTGAAGAAATTGAAATGGAAGATGGACCATTTAGCACAGAATCGGGCTCACATAAGCATCCTGGCTTGCCAATTAAATCAACAAGATATTCCCTGTAATAAAAGATAGTATGTATTACTGCCTATTATCTTAGACTGACCTATGCAATGTTTGAAAAAAACTGAATACATCTATTAAGACATAACAGACATCCCTTCAATCAAATAGAGCAGGTTGTTGGGCAAAGAAGAAGAAAAATTAATGCTTTGCTGCCACAGAAGTTATCCCATGAGTTAAAAAATAAGTCTCCTAGGTCCAAAAACTAACTTAGAGAAAATTCAATTCCCCACAAGGCAAAAAAATAATAGCATGTTTGTGCAGGCTGCAAGTAAAAACTTACAATTCCAGCATCAGAAATAATTTAGAAACCATTTCATACCCGTATCTCCCATAGTCCAAACTAAAATAATTCCACAAATAAACTGATCTCAAGAACTACAAGTAGTATATACTCAGGTCAGATTAGAAACTCCAGGTTTATTACCAAGCCATCTTCCAGGAAGACACTACAAAGTACTAATTGTTCATACTTTGCCCTAATAATGACTGACCAGTATCTTGTTACACCTAAGTTGTTGTAGCATGTGGTTGGTTGGGGTTGGGAGGAAGGGGGTAAGGAGGAAGGAGAGAAGAAGCTCACATAAAACCAACCCGTTTTTTATATTCCACCCTTCTCCTTCATGATAAACCACTAGCAAAATCTTCAGACTAAAGACAAAACAGTAATGTTAGAAATTTCGCAGTCAGCTATACGAATACCCAATACATACCATTTTATTGAGAAATGATAATTAGTGAAGGAAAGGAGAGGTACGAAGCAAGGGCCACGCCACCCAATTACTAAAAATAAATAAGTTAGGAAATTCAACCAAAAGTACTGTAACATAGAGACAATAACAACAAATTTTGTTGATAGTATCAAATTAATTTCCTATCTAAACACTTTTTGGCTAAAGCAAATGCATTGCTATATGGTAATCCATCCTATTACCAATACCATTTTAGTACGGTGAAGGCATCTAACATTGGGTGTACTTGGATTTCAAATCTCAATTTTGCTCCAGAAAGAAAAAAGAAAACAGCACCCATGGTAGTTATGAAGGTATACCTGTTGAACCCAAACCGAACAAGACAAGAGGAAGCATCATCTCTCGTACAATACTTGCATCCTTTGGCAATTCGACATGGTAAATCAATTGTATCAGCTAGCACCTGCAGAAATCAAGTTAGTTGAAGTGAATATAAATGCCATCAAACTTACAATAGCGCATGCTGAACCAAATGAAGCCTCTCAGTTTAACTTTATGCAGAAGAAAGAAAGGGGAGGTGGGGGACAAGTAAGAATCTTATATACATGCTTGGAAAATGGAAGTTTCAAAGGATGAATGTAATTTAACAAACAGAAACGACAACAAACAATAATTTAACCAGCAAGAAACAAAAAATTCAGGTGAAACTAAAATAGAAACATACGTCAAAGTGGACTGAAAATTTTGGTTGAGATATAGTCACTAACTCATACTTTGAATAGCAAGGCCCGGTGGCTGCAGAGGCCAACTGAGAGGCTACCGATTGGTAACACGATAGATCCTAAGCAATCCTTGAGATCGTCACTGCACACTTTCCAGATGGGAACCAATTCATCTTCTCCAGTGGAAGCTGCACCCCTTATGATGGAAATAAAACTTGGTCAGAGTATAAAATAGAAACATATAGTTCTTGGAGATTTTTTGTAGAAGGTGCCAGAAACTCACCCCATGCGATTGCAGATGAGCTTTGCAAGATGGTCAACAACCTCGGTGGTGGTGACACATCTATGGGACATTTCGTGAATTCGGTTTTGTAGTTCCTTCAAGCTGGGATCACTATGTCGATCAATCAACATAACTTCAACTGAAGATTCATTTCCAGGATCAACAGCCTTCAATGATTCAATAGATGGAATACGGCCACTCTCTTGCAAATCAGTACATATGGTCCATACATATGGATCCATCCCATGAATTAAGTAAAATCCATCAGAAACTTTGTCGAAGTATGATAAGCAACCATTTACCTGATGCAACATAATTCATACAAAATCAATAGTAAAATGCACATGAATTGTATATTGTATGCAAAGATATATTTTCCCAAGTAACAAAACGATAACTGACAATTTTGATAATTCGTCTTTTTCAATGCACCGTCTTATAACTGAAAGATATGGACAAACAGAAAGAAAGAAAGTCTTTATTTGTGATAAGTAACTGCTTGTTATGCAAAATCCGAGAAAACAAAAACATCTGTTTTACAAAGCATAACAACTAGTTCAGCTTGAGTAAGGCAAGTCAAGCATCTTTTAGAAATCAAATCTGTCCACACATTCCAGAAGGCCAATTCTTTCCCCGCTTAGTCTCTACATGAATTAATGCAATCCAAGTGCGGTAAACCAACACCTGCCATCAAGGGTAAGTAAAGTTATTACTCCTACCAGTGCAGTCATCAAGAACACAGGCACTGAAACTGGAAATATAGTTCTCGGCTGTATTCATGATCTCCACAACCACCCCTAATCACATCCAATGGCAAATCATCCCTTAGATACATTGGGCATCATAGCATGAGCGTAATTCCATGGAATCAGAAGAAAATTTGCGAAATCCAAGTGTGTTTTCTTCAATTCCAACTCCAAGACTCAAATCCATGCAGCCAGAAGCATAATTAATGTAGCCATCTGTATCCAATTCCAATTCAAAACCCCAATGCCATGCTGCCAGACATATCACTAATTTACTTGCCATTCATTGTTTGCCATAATTTTTCAGCAAACATATGCAGTTCAATAAAAAAAAAAAAAAATGCATCCTCATACGAACTTTTCATGCTATCTCAGAGTTAGACTTCAGATAAAACAGCTAATAAGGGGCAATGGAAAGAGAGCAGAATCAACCCTACCCAGAATCGATGTGACATAGCCTCTGCAGAAGCAGAAGACGCCGATGACCTTGACGCCGTCTCATCTGGCACCGGATCCAAAAAATTAGGATCATCCGCACAAGTAGCTTCAGAAGATAACCGCAGCGCCAACGCCAGCTGTAGCTGATAACTCTCCTCTGTCTGCTGCGCCCAACTCTTCGACGATGAAGATACCCCACCACCACCACCACTAACCTCCACCGCTTTCAACCTCGATAATTCAGCTCCTCCACCAACGCCTTCATGCAAATTTCCAAGTCCATCGGGATTCGAGAGCGACGGAAGGTAGAAATCTCCGGAAATCGAGCTCTCACCGAAGCTACTTCCACTCGACTGCCTCTGCAACCCGATCGACGCCGGAAACACCGTCGTTCCGATCCGACTCTGCGGCTGAACTGCCCGATGATCGATCAAGTCCAAATCGAATCCTCTGTCTGCCTTAGGTTTATTTTTCTCGCCAGAGTGAGACTCGTAGAATGGAGCTCCTCCACCGCCCGCGAACTTCGGCGGCGGTGGTTGGTGGTGGTGGAGGTCGTCGGGATTCTGACTTAGCAACGTGTAATTCGATCGTCCACCAGGCATTTCAATTATAAAAATTAAATTTAAATCGTGAAAACCCTAGAAACCCAAAAGACAACCATTGTTACAGTTTGTGAAGCCTCTGCTCTCTCTCTAAATTTTCCTCGCTATATTCTCTCTCACTAGAATTTCGCTTTTTCCCGTTGTCGGACAGAGAGAAGAGAAGAGGGAGGAGAGAGAGAGGTGGGGCTTTGTTCGGTGGCGAAATGGTAATATTGGACGAATGCTGGTAGTTTAATCAATCACTTGCACTGATATTGGATTCTGATAATTTTACTTAGAACCCAAAATTTTCTAAATTAAAATTTTACCCTATAAAATTCTAAAATTAAGAAAATACCTCCTACATTTGGGGGTTGGTTAAAGCCACCAATAACAAATCTCCTCTTTGATAAATCCATTACTATTATAATGGAAGATAGATGAGTTTGGTGTTCACATACAAAATACGTATATTACCATTATTTTATTTCAATTTTAATGACCTGTGATTCCTCATTCATTGATAACTCTTTAATTATACAAAATTTCTTGTCAACTGGACTCAACATCACTTTAACTCCTATATCTCCTCTTCACTCTCTTCCTATCTGACCTTTTTACATTCAAGTAAACATATGATCGTGTATAACTTCAATTGTCTCTTCTCACTCTCATATTTTTCTGTCACATCTTATTCATATTTGACTCTTTTATAATACACAAAGATGACTAAATGCAGGTGTTGCTGGTTTTAAGAATGCTGCAACTCACCCAATAAAACAAATAAGAAAGGGGTGTGTAGTAATCTTAAAAAATATTTAAGATAGTCTATGTGATTTTCAAAAAACTCAAGGGTGCTTATATAGGTTATCTTGTAATTTATGTATTTTTACACAGGTCATCTTGTAATTTTAGTATCTTTGCGGGTGTTTAGTCAGGAGAAGAGGAGAGTCAGAATTGAGGGCGTTGGAGGCTTTAATTCGTTCCCACCCCGGTTTCCACTTTGGGGAAACTTCGTTCGAGTCGATGGCTTCTATAAAAGGAGACAAATATGCAATGGATTTGGAAAGAAAATGGATAGTTTCTTTTTAAACGCGTTATTACGTAAGAAGGTTAATTTTTTTTTTAATGATAAAAAATATTCGGATTAATTTACGCATATTTTTATAATTATATATAAAAAAATAAAAATCTCACATATGTAACTTTTTTCAATAATAAACCCTCTTTAATAGAAATGGAACACTTTGAGCAGAATTGATATCTTTTTTATTAAATTCAAACATTAAACTTTGAAAATTTTGAAATTTTTGATGCCTAAACTAAGAGACCACATAATTGAAAATAAAATTATATTTGGAATATCAAATTACGTTCAAAATTAATTTTAAAATCCGTTTAATAAATAAGTCTAGTCTAAATAATGACTACGTTCATTTTGTGTGGGCTTGTGAACTAACGTGTATATAATATGTGATATTATTCATATTAATGAAAGTTCAATCTAGAGTATAAATTTGAAGTCAAATTTAAATTCAAAAAGAAACTCAAGTTCGACTCATTAGAGTCGAGCCGAGGATGAAATAAAAAAGAAATTTACGAACCAAGCCTAAACATGATTTATAAACCTTGTTAGGATCCCAATTAAGTCTAGAACCCCCTTTGCAAATGAACACATCAACTGTGGTCACGTGAACATATTTGTTAGTCAATTTAAACTGACATTTTCTTTATTTTTTGGTAAATTCAAACTGGCATTTTCGATTGAACCAAAATGATACAAATGGAAAAGTTAAAGAACCAAATTAATATAATTTAAAAATTAGAAACCAAATTAACACAAAATACATATTTGAGAGATTATTAATGTATTTTACCCATTATTCAATATAAGTGCTTGTCTTTTATATAGAAATACAAATATGTCAAATCACTCACGCTGCAATTTTTTACATTTTTATAATTATTACTGTTTAGCTTTCAACTTACCTCTAACCATCAAATAAAATATGAATAACCAGTCCTCCAACGTCGTGAAAAAACAAGCACATAGTGAAACTATTAGTTCAATTTCGTTATTCTGACTTTTATTTATTTATGATGATTCTCTTATCTTTTCACTTTCTTTCGTATCTTGTCGTGCAAATAGACTGGTTCTTAGCCTCTCTCTTTTTTTTTTTTTTCAATTATTCCATCAACCAACCTATACGAGGATTACAATTTTATTTCAAAATGATTGAAATAACCGAAGCATTTTTATTTTCAATTAGACGAAATCGAAATAGTGATAAAATCACAATTTCAATACTTCAAAATATGTTAGAATGTTTAAGGTATTTTGAGATGTTTTGTCGTGTTTTCACAATTTTCGATGCATGTTTTGATGTATTTCAAGATAATTTGACTAATATTTTAAAAATAAATGTCCTAATTTTTTATTTATTTTCATTCTATTTTCACAGAGTTTCAAAAATATGGCCGAAATATTTTTATTTTTCAAAGGACCAAAACAATATATCGAAATAATATTTTCATCCCTCAATTTATATCGAAACCATTTTTTAACTTTTTATCGTACCTTCAAATTTCGTCGGTATCCATATTATTTTTGTATCCAAACAGCTTTCCGAACGAGTCAAAGAGTCAAACAGAATTAAAGGAAGGCGCACGGACACACACGAAGGAAAAAAAACCAGTTCATGTGTAACCATAACGCAATCGTAGGGCCATACCCCTACGATGTCCATGGTCAATGTACTGCATTATGACGGCTATATGCCATATTTTTTTCCACTTATACTCGTTTATATTTAAAATTTGTTAAGGTGGCTAAGTTTTCACTATGAAAAAAGAATTAGAAAATTCTTCAATTATTTTATAATTAGAAAAGTGTCAAACCAATTCTCCTACTAATTGCCCGTTTATTATTTTTGACCCTTCATATTTGCAAATCGGGACCAAATCGAGCTTGAGTTTTTAGCATACGATCTCGGACACTAACTTTTTAAATTAAGTTTCAATCAGAATTCGACATTTGGAAATCTTTATCTAAAAATCAGGATTATATGTAATTTGAGATCCTATTCGCACTTGATCTGAGTTCTTGAATGATGCAAAAAAAGAAAAATGATAGAAAAAGAAAAAAATTGTTCAAATAATAATAATTTTATCGTGAATAGTGATTATACAAAACTTAGCAAAGGATAAGTTCGGACGTCGCAGCTCCTTATCACTAGTTCGGAGTGTGTACGTCGAGAATTTTCTGCAATGAGAGACCCTCGTGCATGCAATGACAATGACAAATGACACTCTCTAGAAGGCTATGTCACGCCTAAGGATCGTAACTAGTAACGGCCAAATATTCAGGCACATGGGTCGCAACCGTCTCAAGAAGAATCACATTGATTACGCTAGGATGACTTCGATTGCAGAAGGATCGTAGAGATTACGCAAGACAATCACACGAGGCAACTATACACTATAAATAGGGGGTCAAATCCCTCATAGTTGGATATAGAAAATTCATCAGTGTATCTATTGTGTGTAATTTCTCTTTGTCAATTAGTAGATAACTTTCCATGAACAAAAGACTCTATTAAAGTGAGCTAGCCAAGCTTCTGAGCTGTTGAACCATTATAAACCTATTGTTCATTTTTTTTGATTGAATCTATAACCTAATCCCCAAAGAGTTTAAAAGTTCTGATTAGATACTCTAGTGATCGCCAAACAGCTCGCCGGTAGTCTGATGTGCTAACAAACCATCATATGCATTTTAGACTAGTCACTTTATTTTCGAGTATTCTTAAAAAGTGATGCATCAATACTCAATATTTATATTTTCAAGTTTCAATTAAAGCCAGCCAACCCAACCCAGTGAGTGGTTCAAATGCAAGGAATTTAAGAGTGTAGCAACCCCGAGTTGAAATCTTTTGACTTGTTCAATGAATGTGATTTTCCTATGGTTATATTCACATAGAGTTTTCTATCGTCACGATCACGAATTCAAAAAATATTTAATTGTTTCAATTCTCTGTCACCAACGGCGAAAAATCAAACCAGGTGTCGGCTAAAATTCAAGGAAGTGGTAGTTTTGGCTCAGTATCATCAGCCAAGTGTGGATTTGAGTTAAAAATTAATGGGAGAGAAAGATGTACCAACTTCTGTATCTTTGCTTATCTTCACGCCCGTAAAATAAGCTGTGTTTTTGGGGTTTGTCAATGCTCCTCATGGAAAATGACCTCTCTCTCTGACCTATTATATAGTAAGTAAATAAACTATAGGGGGTCTTCTAAGATTAGGAAGTCTTTGGGGCAGTCCCAAAATGGAACTTTGTCAACAAAACATTAACTAGGAAGAGCCGTCCTATTATAAAAACAATTAACATATAGACAATCCTCAAATTACACTTTTGATTTTAGAATATCTTCTTGTCAATTCTTACGTGTATCAATTTAGCCCTTAAACTATATAAAACGTAATAATGAGCTCCTTCTATCGAAGTTTTTGTTAAAACATACAAATTTTTTTAAAAATTTGCCCCTTAAATATTTTGCTTTAAAGAGTTGATTGGATGTTTTATGAAGTTGTTGATAAATTGTGACAACTTGAAGTTAAGGGCATTTTTTTAAACTAAGAGCATAGTTCAATGATTATCTCTGATATGTTGTACCCTATTAGAATTTCTTATGGTTACGTTATGTCCTTGGATAAGAGAGATATAAATTGAGAAAACTTAAAGTTGAGGGCATTTTAAAATCGAAAAAACAGTTCAAACGTCGTTTATATATATGATATTTTGTACGTCCTAAAAACGATATAGAATTCCCTATTGCAATGTTAGGTCTTTGGAATCTAGTATGAATGAACCATCAGTTTTCCACAAGTGGGAACCTAAGTACAATATAAATTATATAAACTTCCCACAAGTGGGAATTCAAATCTATATCATAATGAAACCAGGGTCTAAAAAATTATTGCATATCATTTAAAAATCATTAGAAATGTTGAAAGCAATTCATTATTGCAACTATGGTCACATTCCATGAATTTGAATCTGTAGATACAATTGATTAATCCCATTGGATTTGCAATTGGGATTACTTTTAAATTTGCCAGCTTTGGTCATAGACTCATAATAAAAAGAAAGATTAAGCCCACTTTTTCACTAAACCGTTAGTTTAATCATTAAGTATTCCTGCACTGCTACATGTTGCCAGCAC